CTTCCGATGACCCAGGACTCCGTTCAACTTACTGTTTACTACTGATTAAAGGTTTGAGATGGTGGAGTTACATATCACTTGGTAGAATTTTGTTTGGAAAAAAAAAATGCAAATAATGTTTTTCTGGTGAGTAAGATAATCCAACAATTAGTTATAATCTGTGTTAAAAATTAACCAGCTTTGTTTCTAATCCACAAATTTTAATGTCCCCAAACATCAACTTTCTTAAATGCTCTTTGGATGTTTTTAACATCTAACTGGTTTATTTACTAATCATGTATTGAGCAAAATCTTGCTTGTGTCCATTCTATTTGGAAGAAAGTAATAATTTTGCCTTTTTAAAAATTACATTTTAATTAAGTGAAAGACAAATATGTTACAAAATTGAAAGTTCTAAGGCACTAATTTTTCTTTTAAAAATCCCAAGGTACTTTTTAATGTAAAACCTAGTATTGACACATATTTTAAAATTTGCTTAGTTTTAGCTAAAAATACTTCATTCACTATCTTCTGTCAAAAAGGAAACAAGTAGACATTACCAAAATTGACTATTTTATCAGTATTTTCAAATTTTTTAAGGGATAGACAATGTTAGAATTGTTTTCTCTGAAAAAAATTCACAACTCTGTTTTTAAAGCTTTTATGTTTACTGAAAATTATTTTATCAACTTAGTCTGTTTTTGTTGCCTCTTTCTTAGAAAGAAAACTGACTATACATCAAATATGTATACATGCTCAAGTCAGATCTTTTATATTAGAATTGAATCAGAAATGTTTTCTATAGTAGTTGTTTATCTGTGAATTGCTCCTATAAACCAGTTTATTTATTTTTTAAGAGAATTATTTAATTTTATTTATTTTCATTTTAATTTGTTCACCAGAGAAAGACAGATGGGGGGTGGGGGAGAAGAACAAAACAAACTACCAGGCCCAGGACTTAAACCATAGTCAGCTATGTAAGGAGTTCAGTGCTCCAACTACCACACTTTCTGTTGTCCCCTAAATCACAGTTTAAATGTTCTAACTTATTCTTCTGGATAGCACATCTCAACAGTGGATGTAACACATGATATAGATAAAAATAATGTTTGTTTCCCAAAAAATCCTTACTTGTCAAACTTAGTAATCTTTTCTTAAGTGCTCTTAGTAGTCCATTAGATGAAATCTGAGGTTCATATCAAGGCATAGTTTCTCCAAGCTAATCATTGCTCCATTTCCTATCCGTATCTTATTTTATATTCTAATCTCAGGATCTTGGCATCAAGCAAACTATTGGTAGTAAAGCTGATCCCAGACACCACTAAAATGATAAAATATTTACATTTTTGCTCTAAAGTAGAATCAATTCTTACCATGTTGGTATTCTCTCCCTTTTCAATTCAAAATGCACTTGAGTGAGAGAAAAAGAAGTGAGTCCTATAAATGATTGAGGAATTCTGCATAGCTCTAACTTTCTCATGACTAAAACAGCACGTGAAGATTCAGTCAGTCAAGGTGTTTACTGAGTATCTGCTATCTTTTCTGCTCCAGGCCTTTGGGATGTAACAATAAAGATAAGGGACAAAAATACTTTGGTGTCATGAACCTAGAGTTTACTGTGAGAAGACAGACATAATAAATAAGAAAGTCTTTTCAGGAGACCAGTAGATGGTGGAATGGTTATGTCGCTGGACTCTCACATGGCCTACCACAATTCAAGTCCCAGACCTGGTAACTTAAAACTCATGCTGGGCACATGTGGGTGCATGCCAAAATCATAAGAGGAGAACCCAGAAGAAATTTCAGCATGGCCATTCCCCCCTGGGGATGATTTCTCACTTTCTGTCTTTGTTTCTGTCTGGAGGAGTCCGACCCGGCGGGGCCCCAGAATCTGTTTGAGCTGCCCAACCTTTGAGCACAGCTTGGGTCGACTCAGCATGTTGGCAAGGCCGCTTGCTGTATGCTTCGGAGACTGCAGTAGCCTTGCTGGGAAGCAACCCCCCTCTGACTTCCTGATATACTACTATAAAAGAATTGCATAGCTCTATCATACATCTTGAGTATGTGATAAGATTTCCCAAAAGTCCCCCAACTGCTCCCCTTTGCCCTGACCACCTACTGTTAATTATAATGCTTCATTTCTGCGGTCACAATGGAGGGTGTGCTGAAGTTCCATGTAGGCAGAAATCTTCTTGACCTTTGGAAGGCCCTTCAAGACACATTTAACATAAGCTTAAAAATAACCTTTTAGGCTGAAACTGGCCCAGGGCACTCCCACCCCATGATAACTAATGTTCTAAGAAAATACGTAACAGTGGCACCACAGGCACAATGGAATGCTTAGGTATACCACAGACCCATTTTGAAGTTCTTCATTAACTTGTTAGCCACTTTACGGCCAGTTGAAAAAGCTGCTTAAAGTATCCCCGCCCTCACCAAGTGAACAATAGCTTTACCCCTTTAGAACAGATAAATATATTAGGATTCCTTGAATTAAGTTTTAGATCCCTATAAAATTATATAAGTATCATTATTGAGATCCCTAAGAACAAATACCTATACTTGAGATTTTCTTTTCTTAGCATCGTGCTTAGTAATCACAAGATGGCTGCAACCAAGCATTGGCTGATAATTATCTCTGCTTGCTGGAGCTGCTTTCCCAAAACTGCATTCCATGAAGTTCTTGAAGACCTGCCTACATCAAACAAACAATTGCTAAACTGTAATAGACCCGGCCTTAATCCAACCCTGAACGGAATCTATGTTCCCTATTGTTAAAACTTTATGAACTGATAATTAGAACACGTAGCCCCTCACCCATTTACTTGCATGTATCACATTTTCAATAAAAAGGCATGATAATTCCTAGCAGTTGTCACTCTACAGAGAGCAATCTCTGGGGGGTGTCCGACTGAGGACATGCATGAAAAAGGCACTGAAGCCTCAGTCTTTCCTTCCTGCACTGCCTCCGACAAGATAA